AAGGAAAAAAGGGAAAGAAGAGAATAGAGAACATAGAAGAGAAAAAGAGAAAGAGGCAAGAGGAAAAGAAGAGTGGAAGAGAGAAACTCATAATTCAAGCATTCGAGTAATGGATTCTTCCCAAAGAAAAACCTAAGGTAAGGGTGGGTATTCTCTCATTGTTGGGATTGTGGGTTAATGATTAATGGGTAGAATTTTGTGTAGGGAAAAACCCTTAGATTTCCCATGATTTAGTGAATTTTTTATTTTTATGAATGCCCTAATATGAGGGGGTCGATTACTGTAGCAAAGAAGAGAATGGTTGGTGAAAATACAATTTTCTGCACAATTTTTCGAAAACACACAGTGAGCAATCGATTGCACTAAGGCTACAATTGATTGCACACTTAGCAAAGCTGCTGGAAATTGAGTTTTTGAACTGAACAATCGATTTCACTAAGATGTCAATCGATTGCACAGCAAAATAGTAGCTAAAATGATGAAATTATCAAAGGTACAATCGATTGCACTAAGATGTCAATCGATTGCACTTAAAAACAGTAGCTAAAAATATGAAAAATTGAGTCATACAATCGATTGCACAATAACTCCAATCGATTGCATGATGTACAAAAGCTGAAATAAGTGAATTTTTCACATGTCCAATCGATTGCATGTTCACTACAATTGATTGCACTAGTTGAAATTTGGAAAAGTCATGTACTGGAAGTTTGATTACACAGAGTCATTGTTTAATTAAATCTTAACTAAAACATGGATTAATTGAGATGATTATTGATTATTTACTTGAGTATTGATTGATTATCAACTTTTGGTTGGTTATTGAGATATCAATTGTTGTTTAACAAGTTGATTGTGTATTGAATGTTGAATTCAATTATTGGTGATGAATTGATTGTCCTATGTGTAATCATTGAACTGTGTTGTGAATTGTGATTGAATCTAATTGATTCTTGTCCATTACTTGATAAATGTAGTGATGATGTTGAATGTATGAATACTTTGATTATTATGAAATGTGTTGTGTGTGCAATCATGTTATAATTCTTGTGTGATGAATTATTTAAGAATGCATGGGATTAAGATGCGAGAACAATCTTAAGTGCATATGGTTGCTGATTGCATACGCATCATTTGTTGTCAAGAGGAAATGCTTGCTAGTTTCGTGGAGACTAGTGACTTGTCCCAAACCTAGAGTGGGGTTTGAAAGCCTAGGGGACGGGCTTTTGTTTGTTATTGGTCTAGGGGGCGGACCCAGTTTAAATGTAAAAACCGAAAAATAATAACAAGTGTTGGTACCACATGGCATGAGTTGCATTGAGTTGCATCGATTCGCATGGCATATATAATTGTTGTATGAAAACATGCATATGTGTATGACTGGTTGAATTAAAAGTATGAGTATGTGTATGACTTGTTGAATTGGGAGTTGTGAATGTGTGGTTGTTGAATGATATTGGCTGATGACAATTGAAGTGTGAGAATATTGGTGTTTGTGCTGACATGCTTTACATTATTCATTATCTTATGATCTCAATATTGATGTGAATTCTCACCCTTATGCTGGAATAATGTTTTATACGACATCGCGCAGGTATCAAGGAGTAGAACTGCTCGTAGTTGTGAGGTCGTTGTTGGTGCAGCCGTTTAGTATTTTAATTATATTGGGTCGAGTCGTGTTCTGGTCATGTAACACTAGGATCGTTTGGTTTATGTCTTAGAGATACATTATGTACTCTACACTATGTTTTTATATTCATCGAAATATTATGATGTTGGCCTTAGTGCCTAAGTAATGTTGAATTATGTGATGAACATGAATGTTTCCGTTACGAGAATTATGATATAAATTGAATTCGCTGCTACATGCGAAGTAAAACCTTGAAAAGCATGATTATTTATTAAAGTGTTAATGAGCATGACAGGTGGTTTTTGATGTTTTGAAAATCATGTGTGACACCCTTTTGTGAATGCGTGATGATTTACTCTGATTATTTATATATATATTCTGCGGGGTTTAGAAGGGTGTTACACCAACCAATTCTTTGTCTGGAAGTGGTGGTTGAACGCGGGCGGCTAACTCTCTCCATCTCTGAGCATACCCTTTGAAGGATTCATTGTTCGCTTGAGATAAGTCTTGCAACTGCATGCGGCTGGGAGCCATGTCAAAATTATAATTGTATTGCTTCACAAAGGTGATAGTTAGGTCTGACCATGATCGGGTACAACCACTTTCTAACTGCATGTACCAATTCAATGATGCCCCACTTAGACTGTCTTAGAAACAGTGGATCATAAGCTTGTCGTTGCGGACTTACGAGGTCATTCTTCTGCAAAACATCATCAAATGTTGCTTCGGACAGCTATCCCTTTTTTATTTCTAAAACTTCGGTGCCTTGAAGATTGGAGGCATTACAAGGTCGGGTACCAAACACATGCTTGAAGAATTCAGATTAAGAGCATCACGACCCTCTAAGGCATCAAGTTTTTCCTCCAACAAACGATATATTTTTATAAATTCAACAGTCTTTAGGTCTTTAGGTTTCATCCTTGGAACTACCCCTTGAAAGTCTGGCACAAAGAATGTGAAACTCTGATAGTTTGTAGCATTAAGAGAAGAGGAATGTCCATCTCGGACAATGGTACGCTCTTGTATAGCCTGATACTCAACAGGAATCCGCACATGCTGAGCTTGAGCAACATTGTTCACTAGAGGTGGAATAACACTCCTAGTAACTTAAGTCCTCTGAATATTGGTCTCTCCTGTTGTCATGGTTGTCATAGCTTCCACAAGTTGATCCAACTGATTCTTCATCAATTCAACATTTGCCCTTGTTACAAATTGATTATGTTCTCCTGAGTTCATGATCCTTCCAAAAGTTGATTCAAGTCCAATACGAGTGTCGGGAAATCAACTGCGAGTCGGAAAAAAGATGGATGAGCTCTATGTTTCTAGCCGAGGAAAGAAATGCAAAATGATGCATAAATGCTTATGCAATGCAATGTTATGGATGCAACAAAATGATGCGCAAATGCTTATGCAATCCATGTCTTAGAAGATCGATGTAACATATGATTATGAGTTAGACCTAATGGAGATGCAGATGCATGCGAAACAAAAGCCATAAAAGATAAGAAAAAGTGAGGGAAAATTTTGGAGTGCAACAGACGGCCAGATAGTCGCTTCAACGGGTTTCGGTGACAATGTTGACCATGTCGATGGGGAGTCTCAACCCGAGGAGGGAGATGATGTTTAGAATTTATTTTGTAGTTATTTGGCTTGTGTGCCATATTTTTGTATCTTGATTTGATATTTGTTCGGCATGCGTGCCAAGACTTGTAATATTTGAATATTGGGTCTTTGCCCGCCTTATATGTAATGTTTTAAGGCTATCGGCCTTTGTGGTCGTCACTTTAATATGACCCTTTTCCCGTTTTCTATTTTGTTTGTGTATGTTATTGTATGTTTTGCTTGTCGAGTACTTATTGCCATCGTCGATGTTTATGTTAGTAATATTGTTTTCACTAAGTGTTTGGGGGCCCTTGCTCAACACAGTTGGTACTCGACCGTGTAGGAAATTGGTCGAGTGATCGGAGTTGGTTTTCGATCGACGACAGAGTTAAAATCTCGGTCGAAGTCTTTGTTTCGCAACGTGAAATTTCTATCACGAGCTGAGGTGTTCTGCCTTATTGGTATGATGACGGCGGAACTTAGTTGAGATATCCCCGTCGGGTTAAGAATCTGCTCGCACAAAAGAGCGGAATCTTGCCTTTCCGTTTCAAATTTGAGAAACTGTGCTTGTACCTGAGTGGGACCGAATTTAAATGTCCATAAGATAAATTTGATTTTTGAAATCTAAATTTTTTATAATTGTTTTTCCTTGATTTTAAAATGGTTTGAGATAGTGTTTTTTGAATTTTGTAATGCCCAATATTTAATAGGTTTATTAAGACTGTCTTATCCACCATAGACTAGCCTTAAAAGTAGTTCACCGTAAAACTTAGACATCTCACATATTCACTTTTTAAAGATAAAATTCTATCTATCAAACTACTTGACCGAAAAAATTGCCACTCAAAATATTTATAATACCATGAGAAACCGATTGTAAATTTGTTTTAATTCTCTTAATTCAACTTATACATTTGTTATGATGCTTAAACAAAGCAAAATTATGAAAACAATTCTTGACATGTTTAGAAAAATAGTTGAGTCAATTTACTTTGTTATAGAAACAACTTTTTCTCGAGACTTTATATTGTAGTCTACAAAATAAAGTATTTATTCAAACAATATGAAAAGGGCACAACAAATATTCCAAATACCGCATGAAAATAACTTGATAGTGTCACCAAGATTTTCTAGACAAAATATACGACTTTAACTACTAAAAAATTATAGGGAAAAAGCAAGCATTTAAAGATCCGCACATAACATTAAGATCAGGGATAATGCTCAACATCCGTCCAAGAGCATAAATCTTTACAGAAAAAGTACAGACATGTTTTTCCAAAACAAAAAATAAGACAGACATGTTTTATTTGACAAAAAAAAAGACATGTTTTGAACCGAATATCAAAGTGGGAAAATGACAGAAGGAAAGATATCAAGGAAGAAAATAAATATGTTTTCTAATTTTGATAATATAGAAAATCCGAGAAGGCATCGATACCTCTCTATTAGGGATAAATTGATTCTGGCACCTATTTCTTACAGTTAAAAGTTCAGACAGAATATATTACAGACCAATACTTCCAACAAAACTTCAACTGATAGAATATATTACAGACCAATACTTCCAACAAAACTCCAACTGATATTTGTCCTCAAGTGCAAAAATGTGACTGGTGAATACAAGGGACGTCCGAATCCCACACTGAACAAAACATTTATACTAGTAAAACTTCTTGGGTATGTAATTTCACATCACCTAATAATGGTTTTATAAAACTCTGGGATACAACAATGTGTCAATTTTAGCATCCAGCATAGAAGAAAATTAACACTGCTGTCGTTTACGAGGCAAGAGTGCAAGAAGAAGTTTTTTCCTTGGACCCTGCAACCCCAAGCAGACTTCATAAGTTGGATAATATCAAAAAATCAAAAAGTGTACTCAACACATGCACATGAAAACTCACATTCTTTTTTTTCTAATGCAAACCGTCTAAAGAGTGAAAACAACAAGAGCAAGAATTAAAAATCAGTACACCTTGAAGATCAACTTTCATAAGATTCAGATGCAAAACTTTAATGCTAAAACAAACAAGCTAGATATAGAATTGAAAGCAATTTGCAAAGACTTTTCTGGAAAACATGGGAACAGTTGAGACGAAGGAGTAAACTCATGCCGTGGGAGGGGTCTATAACAGTGATTAAACTATGGCTCTTTGAACGGCCAGCTGACACTTTACCTGCCAGAGCCACCAAACAATGGTATTTGTTCAAGCTCCTTGAGTATCTCGTAAATTTATGCAGAGAAAACAGGGAGAGAAACATAGAAGATTGAAGCAGAGCGGATAATTGCAACCAGGAGGATAAAGGGGAGAGATGAAGGAAAGGGTGAGATGGGTCTTTGAGGGAAGGTGATATTAATAAGTTGGTTAGCAGGTTAAGTGGTGATGATTATAAAGAAAAAGGGATTAGACATTAAAGAGAGGGCATTTTTTCCTGATTGTTATGGCATAGGGCATTGGGAAGTGGAGACCGCCGAAGTTCTGCAATCTATACGGTTTTAAAGGGAACACTTGGCATTGAACAAGGCAGCTAGTGCTAACAGGATAGGTGCAAAAACAAGTTACCAATACTTCTTACAAGAGATTCTCCAAGCAATCACACTTACTGAACTCGTGCAACGCTGTCCCAGAAGTGTATAATATAAGAATAAGAATGCCTTAATTCATATATTTGGTGTACTGTTGAATTCAAAATATAAGACACATTTAAATAACGACAATTACCATAGGAATTCCAAGCTCTTTGAGGTCATTTTCTCCCATCTGCTTCAATGCAGTCATATCCACCTGCAAGGACTTAGCAGTGTTATAAGAAAGCTGGTAGTGCCAAATTAGATATATTCATAGCGGGAATACAAAACAAAAAATCAAAATCATAACTCATAACTCATTTTTTAGTATATAATTTATTCATATATGAAGACGATATTTATTAATATCATAAGATAATATATGATCACTAGAGCTTGAGCACTCAACAAAAAACACTTCTGGCTAATATATATATAGGAGCAACTCTGGTGAGAACACTTGGCTAATACAAGACATGAGAACAACTGATTCTAATCGTTAGATTAAAATTTAATTTAAGTACCAGCTCATATTATTTATGCGCCTCCATACATTTGAAAATTTTGATCAGATTAGTGACTAGTTTATAGAAAAAGAGTGACAATTATAAGAATCAATTATATGTAAAAATTGAAGGAAATCACAGTCCAACCTCAACATTGAAAAATTAAAAGTACAAGTTAAAGTAAAAATCAGAACTTTTGGCTATTAACCTGCCTATATGGAAGAGGCTTCTCTGCACTTAGTATTTGTAATCATAGAAGAGCAGGTTTCACAAAATAAATCGTGGAATCCCATAGAAACAAAAACCAATCAAAAGTATTTCTCTTTACAGCGAAAGAAGCAAAGAAAACTTGTTTTACAACCATTGTTAGTACTTTAGATGGAATTTTAAACAGGAACTAGTTCATCACAAACTTTGGATATCTGTTCAATACAAAAATTAACCGAACTTTCTGAAGTAAAAAGCATGAAATAAGTCAAATGGCAAAAAAAAAATTTAATTTATCATGGAGGATCAACAATAAAAGGTTCCCTTGATTTATAAATTGTCCTCTCCAATCATTTTCCATGGAAGAACTCCTAAAGACTATAGCCAGCTAATGAGTAAATGATTTTTGACATTTCATCAAACATATGACACAATACTCAATTGGATTTTAAAAAAAATTAGTATAATATAACTTCTTATTTACATAAATAAAAGAGTGACATACTTCCTCGGCCTTGAAGAGTATGACATATTTTTGTAACCCCAATGCTTGCAACAGGCCCTCGACAGTTTGTGATTGCTGTTCCTCGCCCTGAAAGGTTAACCAGAAAAGCCACATGTCAGAATGAACTATACAGATAAAAGTTCAGAGAATTAAACATAACCCAAACTCATCCTCATCTAAACACAAGTTTCCAAGATCAAGTCATAGAGACTGATAGTAATAACTATAATAGTAATTTGCATAAACTTCCACCCCAGTAGTTCAGAATATTAATGTCCATAGTCTAAATAGTAACTCGCACAAAGTTGCTCCAATTGTTTATTTGGGAAGTCAGACCACAGTAGAAGAACACAAATCAAGCATTTTTAACACCAGCATCAACACATCTACTAAGGATGCTAAAGGTACAATCACCAAAGGAAATAACTTGTGTTCTTTATTGCAACACATTGCTATATCTATCAATGGAATATAAAAAGGGGTGTTTATCTACTAGTGTTATCAAATTGCCCCGCCATGGCCGCTATGGCGGATTTACATGGCAGTTTTTAGGCTCGCCGCAATGATAAATGTCGGCCGCTATTGCGGTTTTTTCCGCCATAATCCGCAATAAAGGCGCCGCAAAGCGGACAGTATGGTGGGATTTTGCCTCTCCGTCATCGACAACACTGATCTACTGCAACACTTTAAATTTTAAATACAAAAACAATGTTAGACTAACCCGTCAATTATTTGCAACGTCTTCACCTCAAAATAAGGATGTCGATAACCATGAATCAAGTTAAGGTCCTTTAAAATGAGTAACATAAGCATGTTGACTAATCCTAATACTATCCATATAGTAATGTGTCATTTTTCTTTGAACTTGGCACTACTCTTTAATTCAGGTCAACCCTATACAGGTATTGTACAGGGTTATAAAAAATCTATGGTAACAGTATGGTAAAAGTTTATAAAAATCTATGGTAACAGTATGGTAATATATATTTTTAAAAATTATAAAAAATAAGTTTTATATAAGCATGACCAAGTTGTATAAAGACATAAACTTGAGAGGACAAAGAACTTGAATTACATGAATAAGAGACTAGAATTCGCATCAATATGCTTTACCGATTAAGTATAATCACGCGAATTAATACTATTTTTGTACAGAATTAAACAGTTGACAATAGGGATTGATTATTTAATTATAGAATATAATCTTTCCAAATTTACTACATAACAAATCATACAAAATCAAGAAATACATACATGAAGTTAGGAAAGGGGGGTATTTACATAGCAAAAAATAGTGAAAGAATATTTGAATAATAGGAATAGGGAAAATTTCACAGGGTAATACTAATAGATAATGTGTCAACATTATCAACACAGAATGTGAAAAACCTAATTTTCTAAATAAATAGTAAAAGCTAGTGAGCAACAATATTGTATTATTGATCAGACTCCGGGGACAGACCTGTTTATACCCCCAGGGCCCACATGAACCCAAATTGAGTTTCCTATTATTTTGATTGAAGAACATTTTTGTAACTTATCCACAGGCACTTAATGAATACCCAATATTTTGGTGAATTGTGAACTGAAGATTGCCTAAGCTTTATTGAGGTCATATCTATATTACTGATACACCCCTCATGATTAATTCATTCACTAATCACCAATTTATCGGAAACTAGGATTTCCAAAAAGAGACCTTGTGAGCAATTACATTTACAATATGCATAATGTAGAGAGATTCACACATATGGTAACATATTCAAATATAAGGTCTGATTGAACATCCAGATTTAATAAAAATTAGCTTCTAAAATCAGTCCCTAAAGTAGAATATAATGAATTAGTTAATTCCATTTAACCGCCCATAAAAAGATTAATAATTTTTCAGTCACCATTGCTGAAGAATAGAATTCTTTATATTTATTCAAAATCTATTATAATTATTGGTACCTAAGTTATATTTTTATAAATAATCTCTATATATAGCCAACCAAAAGGGCATAACAGATTCAACTGATACATCCATCACATGGTCATATGGAAATTTTCCTTACAACAACAACAATCAATTCTTATCCCCCTAAGTGAGGTCAGTTGCATGGATACGCCCAAAAGTTCTATCGAAGACCATATTTCTATCCAAATTGTTAGTCTTGAGATCGTTCTCAAAAGATTATCTTATAGTTTTTCTAGGTCTCCCTCTACCTCTAGTTGTTTAACTCGTGGTGGAGAGCCAAAATCCCGCCAAATTGGCTGCTTTACGGCGCCGTTATAGCAGATTATGACAGAAAACCCGCAATATCAGTCGATATTTACCATTGCGAGCCCAAAAACCGCCATATATATCTGCCATAGCAGCTTTGGCACCACTATTTGATAACACTGATCTCCATCTAATCTGCTTACAATATAATCTACAGATCGTCTTTCTTTAAGTAACAAATAATAAAATTTGAGAGTAGACTAAGGAAAATTCACCACAAATGGAACCCTTTGTGCAACGCTGCTTGATGGAGGATGCTGGCCAGGACGAGATGCTACAGGTTTGGCAGTTACTGGAGGCAATGACAACATTGCAGATCTTGACATAAAAGATGAAGGTGCAGCAGCACTTGGAGGCCTTGAAGTTTCAAGAACATCCCTACCTGCATATGAAACTGGTCTGATTCCATCGTATGTCCTGTTTAAAGGCCTTCTCTGAGGGTCTCCAACATTTCTTTGGGGGGAGATCCCCCGGGAAGAACTTGGAAACCCATCTGGTGATCTTTGCCGAATTTGATCCAGTGTCCAAGGAGAGTATGAGCTTCTCATGGATTCCATACGCATTAAATCATCAGAACTTCTAGCTGAGGGAACTGGCCTGTACAAGCTTGCATCCCTTGGTTCAGGCATGCGCTGCTTTGAATTAAAACTGTTCGTCGGAGGATGAGCTATCTTCGACAATTTTTCACGGAGATCAATATTCCTCTTATTGCCATTACCTTCAGTCCTCCTCGATGCACTTTTTTGCATGAGTTTCAATCGGAGATCATCTTTTCCAATACGTCGATCTAAGTAAATTAAGGGAAACGAGATTTTTATTTATAAAAACCATTGAATAATATAAGTATGGAAGGTAAATTCGCTGCTGAGGGAGAGTACTACCATCCAGTCCATTTTGCATGCTTACATCTCCTCGCTGTCTGCAGAGAATCCAAACAAACAACATAATTCTTGAAATCTAACTTTAATTGCATCACACAAGAAACAGGCACACCGTTCTACCAGTGGCACTAATCATTAAATAGTTCAAAACATTATCCATGGTAAACTTTCTGAACAAAAAGAGAACACGCCAGGGAGAGTGGGTGTGGGAATGTGTTTAAATATATAATGCACCAGCTCCGACAACCAACACCATAGTAGCTAAAAATACTGTAGAAATCACATGCACAAACACACCTTTTATTGCTGCCGGTCCCATTTCCATGCCACGTGGAATTATCTGCGTTATTCCCAATTCTGTCTCTCACAGACCGCTTACTCCCAGCTGACATAGAAGAAGAGTAAGCAACATCTGCCGCAGATACATCCCTCTTCACAACCTAAACTCAAGTGTACAGTAGCATGTCATTCACATGAATCCCTTTCATCATATATCTAAATAAAACTATATTTCCGTGCCAAAAACCGTAAGCATTAATAATAGAGGTTAAGATTTAACAGTATACTAAGTTCCTTCATTCCCAACAAACAATACAAAATCATGGCATCGTAGAACTTGATGTCAACAAACAAAACACTACCGAAATAAAGTTTAACAAAATCTAAGTAGCAGAAACCGCTAAAAGAAGTTCCTTTAAAAAAAAGCATAAACTAAAATCAACTGCGAAAAAAATTGATATTCAACATACCTGACCGCTGCGTCCAAGAGTAATGGTAATTCGACCCCTTGAATTATTAGACATATTAACAGCACAAACCCTAAATTATCAATTAGGCGGAAAATTGTGCAGCTACGATACGGTATCAACTCGAAAACGAGACATGAACAGAAATGATTAGAAGCAGAACAAGCGGTTTTGAAAGTGGTGTACTAACCCTAACCCTAATTTGATTTCCACGAATTCGAAGCAGGACAAAAGGTTCTTCGGGTAAGGAAATAGAAAGGAGTTTGAGATTCAGGAGGTGGAGTTGAGGTTCGCGTTGAAATGAGAGGGTGTGATGGGGTTTGTGGCGGAGTAGAAAGGGCGCGGTGGCTCTGCGTTGTGGTGGGAACGGTGGAGCACCGAGTTAGGGAGTGGTTTTTTATTTTTTTTAAATGAGATTGGAAGTAGCGTTGTTAGCTGGAAAATGGTGAAGGGCGGATCGAACCAAGACCGTCAGATCAGTACACCGTGGTGGTGGGACCAGACTGGTTTTCTATTTGATTTTTTTTTTGTTTTTTTGTCTTGGATTTATGGTATAATTAGTTTTCAAGAGTTAATTTTGAGTTCTAACTTAGTTGTTTAATACAAAGCCGTTTTAGTTTGGTTCATTAATATTATTTTCGATAGCATAATTGATTTTTTTTCGTTAGTTTAGGTGTTAAAAAGGTAGTAAATGTTAACGTGGCATGTCAATTGTGTAATTTCATTAAAAGATAAATAAATTATTATTTAAGGGGTTCAATTATATCAAAACTCTTCATATTTTTCAATAAATTGTTCGTGCGTAGTATCACATATTCATTGTGTTGGTGTGCTTTCTTACTTTCTTAATCTCTTCACTTTTGTTTCTGAGATTGCAGAAAAGGTTTCATCGATTTTCCTCAATTTCATCTTGTCTCCATTTTTAGAGTTTTAACATTCTTCAATGTCTAAATTGTCAAGCAGTGCTTCCATTGGAACAGTTGGGTCAATTATTCGCAAAAATAAGAGGAGGGAGTGTTATTGTTTAGATGAATGTGTGTTTCGTACTGTGGGTGACATGAATAGTATTAATTTTGGGGAAAAAGTTTTGGGATTGTAGAAATTACATAAGTCATATGAATAAGGGTTGTGATTTCTTCAAATGGTTAAGATGGAGACATTACTATTCGACCCTTTTCACTCTGAATCAGCTTTTGACTTTAACACAAAATTTGTAGATCTTTCTCTTAATTTTTCAACGCCTGTTAGAACGCGTCAATCTGATTCTCGTAACTCAAGTTATGGTCTTCACAATGAAAGAGTAAATAACAGTTTAAGCTGAAAATAAAGTACTAAAATTAAATAAAACCAGAAATAAACTTAAATATAAAAACACATTAAAATAATTAAAATAATAAAATAAACTATAGAGTTGCATAAGTACAATAGTATAAGAAAGTGCATCAAAATGCATTGATCAAATTCCCCAACACTTGAACTTTTGCACTTCAAACAAAATTATAAATTCAAAACAGAGCATGCAATTCCAAAAGTTCTTAGGATACAAAGTGCAGGCAAAATTCTAAATCTAAGCTTCAAGAAAATGGCATTAGTAAGTAACTTTTTTGTGACATTCAAAGCAAATACGAAAAATAAATTACCAAAGATTACATCAAAAGCAGTAAGATCCTCACAAGATAACATTTACTCAACTCTCAAGTATTTAGGGCAGAGCTCCACAAATGAAAAACATACACACAAATATCAAAAGGACTTTTATTCGGGTTGTAACTTAGCCAAGGTCCGGTGAGATAAATCCTAAGGGTATTGGTTGAGAATTTCAACGTCAGGTTTTGTTTAAGGATACTAAGCAAAGAACAAGTGCTTCTTGAGTTTTTACTGAATTCGACAGGGGCATATACAAAGGTCTTAGTCAAAGAGGCCTCCGTGAGAAGGACATGCTGGAAAAATACTTAGAAATATTTTTTAAGTTTGGACAACAACTTTGGCGGAGGGTGTATGTGGCTCTCCTTCGATAGAAGTTTTGAATTTCAAAATACGGATAATAATTGTCTTTTGTCCTTATCAGTTTCTCAAAGAGGACACATGAAGAGCTGTGGGGAAATGAAAACATGCAGATAAAAACGTGTCAATTTTTGGAGGAATATTCGTTGAAAACAGTTATTTTTGACATATTATAAATATGAGTCTTAGTGTTTAGGATTTCGTGTGTTCATTATTGTACAAATACTCAAAAAAATCACTTAAAGTATCTAAGTCAATTGAGAAAAGAGTTTTCATTGAAAAATGTACATGTGAAACACCACAATTATTTTCAATTGAAATTTATTTATAATTTACCATTTATCCTTTTACTGCACTTTTACTTTGAAGTTTCCTTCATTGCATTTTCTTCATCAATTTCTGTGAAGTTTATCTTTTCTAAAACTTTTAAACAACATTTTACAAATATGAACGTTGTCGAGGTGTTCTCATAATTTTCAGAAAGAAATTAAACAATAGTTAAGTCCTTAGGATTCACTGGTTGATCCTGCAAGTAATCCATTTTTAGAAGACTAACAGTTGCTTACCAATTTTTTACGATAAACAAATTGGCACGTCTAGTGGGACAGTGCTATTGTTGAGATAATTTTTGCTTTTTTTTAATTTCTTTATATAAATTCTTCATTTTTACTATCTCTCAAAACTTAGTTACATGAGACTTAGGAGTGGTAGAATAGGCACAAACGATGAAGAGAGACCAAGGAGGAAATGCGTAAGAAGGATGGTGAATCAAAATCCACCAAATAACCAAAAACCATCAAACAACGAAGAACCACCCCATTCGTCTTCGACAGGGGAAACTATGGTTCAAACGTCAGTTTCGGAGCCAGTGTAATCCATGGTGTCTACGATGCATGTGCAGTCGGTTGCACAAAGTGGGCCCATTTAATCTTATGTGGGAACACAAGGTCCATCAGTGACCCCCCCCCCCCCTCTAGTAGGGATTAATGTATTCGGACCTTATATGCCTGGATTTTCAATGCCTTAAATAGGGCATGAACAACCTTATGGCATGCCTACATCTATGATGACAAATTTACATAATTCGTTATCAATGTTCTTAGACCCAGTAGTGAATTTAACTTCGCCACTGCAAGGATCCGGTTTAGGCATTAATAATCTGGGTCGAATTAGTCAGTCCTTAGGGACGGGATTTCCCACCTAAATGTTCAATATCTAATAATTTTGCAGTAGTGATAAGGCAGCAAATGGACGAAAGCAATCACGGAATGGTCCAGATGTTTGTCCAACAAATGGGTGTTATATTTAATCCCTTAATCCAAAACACTACCTAAGCGAACCAACAATTAGCAACACAAATGACGTGCATTGTTGATTTTTTTGGTGTCCCTCAACCTTATAGACAACCTCAAAAGGAATGGGTAAGAGAAAACCCAAGGTTAGTCTTGGAAGAAGACACGATAGTTAACCAAGTCCGACAAAATGGACCCCAGGCGAACGTGGTAGATCCGGGAGTGAGATTCGAACCACCTAGGTCGAACTTCCTAGAATTGAGCAACAAATCCCAAGGAAATCTAGGGTAGCGATGGTAAATAGAAACCAAAACACTGATGAGGTCATAAATCAGGTTTGACGTGAGGATGTGGCAGCAGACAATAACTTAGCAGCCATGGTCGAAAGAATTATAGCAAGGAATAGTGTGAATATTGGTCTTCATAGGCCAAATTATACATCACCATTGTCGGAGTATGTTCTGCAAACAGAATTACCCCTACATGGATTGTCCCTAACTTTACTAAGTTTTATGGGGATACTAGTGAGTTCACAGTCGAACATGTGGCTAGATACCTGATAAAGGCGTGAGATATTGCCAATAATGAGAACCTAAGGATGAAATATTTCCCAAGTTCACTTAACAAGAATGCCTTTACCTAGTTCACCATATTACCAGCATATTTGATCCACAATTGGAAAGATTGTTCCATGAATAGTTCTATATGGGACATGTTGCGGTGGAAATAGGATATCAAACTATTAATTAGTTTGAATCACAATTCTTAATTCACAACCGACTTTGATTTATCCGAAGAAAAATGTCAAACGAAGGAAAACCTATTTTTGCATCGTAAACACAATGCAGAGAGAGACCTAGGTAAGGGGTTGGTTAAGCTTAGGGAAGGTACTAGCACCCTAAACTTCTGTAGTACTCTACAAGAACCTTTTATTTATTTTTGCTATTTTGCTTTATTATTTTTTTAAGTATATACTGAGTTAAGGGATAGAGTGACCTAAAAGACCTAAGGGTTAGTCCTAAGTTTACTCGGCAAGATTCGCATCTTGTGTCTACGTATCCTGGATAGGGAATGGAATCAGAGTAATCGTAGTTCCCCTCGAAAGGGAGGTTAGAAACTTCTTGATTATGGTCAAGGTTTTGATGGGAGAATAAGCATTTCTTAAGGAAACGCTTACGTGAAGTCTCGAGACTCCTATTTCTATGTCGAAATTGTTAACTGAAAATTAGGGTTGACTAAATGTTCCACGGCGGGAAACCCTAAAACAGAATACGACGACTCTTTGACCTAATGCTAGGGTAAAAGGCATTCTCGTCCACGGCGGGACACCTAGGCATATTAGGGTTTTGAAATGTTCAAAGGGTGAGGACTATTGACTCGGCGGTCAAACGGATAGACCTAATCCTTCAGAGGTGTTTAAACGGTTAAAAATAAGCAGATGATGAATTATTACATGGCATGAATAAAGCATGAAACTAATGAAAGCGGTAAAGCAAAAGCGTCACGATGATCACTCGCGTAAATTAAAAATCCCAAAAATGCCAAAAACAAACAACTGCGACGATAGCCTCGCACAAATTACAACCAAGACAAATAAGCAGGAATACTGATGGCGACGGTCCTTGCCTAATTACAAACAGAAAACGAAACTAGGCCCACACGGGAAGCTAATAAATGCGTGCAATACGGGATATGAATGTCGAAAGAACAATAACAGGAACATTACTCATCTTTCACTTTAATATTTCGTTAGAAATTTAA